GGGCAGAGGCGGATGGGTACCAATTACACGGCATGAACAAAGCCTGTCCTCACTCCTGGTTTAGCTGCACCACTCCGAGCTGCCGCAGGCTACATGTGCGGTAGGAACGAGACCTCGCCTGCCGCAGCGAGCGGGACCACACGCGGGGAGACCAGCCGGTCCCTCCGCAGATCACAGCTCCCTATCCCTGCCCTCCCCTCTCCCAGGCCCCCTGTTCCGCCTCGGTCCCTGCCCGTGGGAATCTCCCGACGTAGATGCTGAGACGCAGAGCACCCTCTCTGTCACCCACGGAGATGGGCAACTGGTGTGGGTCAACCAGCGGGTCTCTTGAGCATCCTTCCTCCATCTCTTACACCATTACATGTGTGCGCTCCCCCGAGCTCTCCCCACGCAGCATCTCGGGGCACACAGTGCAGCCCCAGAGCCCCCCGGCAGGCGGGGACCAGCCGGACTCCCAGGGGTACCCATGGAGGAGGCAAGCCGCCTTCTGAACTGCCGCAAGGAAACCATGCAACCAGATTCACGTAGCAAGTGTCTCTTCAGCGGGTTTGCCCCTATATATAGGTGCATCTACTGAATATATACATGCCTTAGCAATAGTATACTGGAAACTGTGCCACACGTGACTTGATGGTGCTGAACTAATGTGTACAAAAGTATGGAGGGGTCCATGTACCCTCTAAGTACAAAGTTCCTCCTGTCCAGCTGCAGAAGGGTCTGATTTTGGGGCACAACAAGTAACGTGTCAGGGCTCCTGGAGGGCACGCGGCTTTGGCATCTACCCAGTTTGTTCACGGAGCTGCCGGATCCGGGAGGACAGACCGATGCCAGACTGCTGTGGGATGCTCAGGGTGGCAGAGTCCAGCCCAGGTGCTTCAGCCGAGCTGTGATCCCTGGGCCGAGAGCCAGGGAGAGCCGGGATGCCCGCTGCTCCATGCCCACGGGCTGTTGCAGGCTTGGGCATCGGGCAGCAGAGGTCGAAAGCTCTGCTATGTGCCTTCCTCTCACAGCAGGTGAAGATGCAGGTTAACCCTGGGAGAGGAGGACCTGGAGATTTCCCCTTGGAGGTGAAAGGTGCTAACACCCCACCGCTGGCTGCCATGCAGCACCCGCGGGGCGTCCAAAATGCATGTCGTGGGCAGTTGAGCAGCTCTGGAGTGGCTGTGGTCGGTGAAAGGAGGTCCCCTCGGTGCACCTCTCGCTGGGGCTGGCATGCCCGCTCCTCCCTGGCCGACCCGGAGGAGCCGGGGCTGAGCACACCGCCCGTTCCAGCAGCTGGGCGAGGAGCCGGGAGTGCTGTTAGGCTTCTCCCTGTGCAACTGGGGTCTGGCCAGCAGGGACAGGGCTTCCTGCCCCTCCATGCAGTGTGTCCAAAGCCCAAAATGTCCGGAGAGTTTTTGGTTTTGCCCTGTAATTACACAGCCCGCTGTGAGCAAGTGGCAACTGCCGGCTCCTCCTTGAGCAGGTAGTGGCTGCCAGACGGTCCCTGCTCCAGCGGGCAGGTACCCGCGTGCATCCCTTCCCCGGGCGCCTGCCCCGTGCAGGGGATGGGAGCTTCCTCACGGAGAAAGTCCAGCTGACATTCCTCCCCTCCAACCGGAGAAGAGAAGCCACTCTGTCCCAATCATTGTCACCAAGAACACGCTGCATCAATAAATAACCCTTGTCTCAGCCCACGTCGCTCCCGGGCTCGGGTCAGCATGTGAGCGGGAAGTCCGAGTCGTCCCACGCCGTGGCTCTCCTTGCTGCCCTTGGGGTTTTCCTCTGAGGCTTCACTGTACAATGAGAACAAGACCAGCTGCCCGGGTTTTATTTCTAAGTCCGAGTGAAGTGGCTTCAGTTTGAGTATAGGGCTCCTCTGGGGATGGGGAGGGATGGGGACCGGGCTGGAGGGGAGCAAAGGGTCATTCTTCACTGGCTGACTCCTGGAGAAGGCGATGGATGTCCTGGAAGGAGGGACGATCTTTAGTGTCCCGTCTCCAGCAGCTGAGCATTAGCTTATAGACTGAGTCAGGGCAAAGTGCAGGCTGGGGAAGGTAGGTCTTCAAAACAAAAGGCAAAGATGACAAAGGGAGAGAGTTACTGCCGCGGAAACTAAAAAGCAAATTGCTCCTGGGGAGCCCCATTTCTGCATGCACTGGGGCGGGGGGCTGTGCTGCTGTGTGCCCAGGGGCAAGGGCATGTCCGGGCACCCCGGTGGGGGGCTGTGGACACCTGCTCATGCCTCCCAGCCTGGCTAAATGCCGGAGCAGGGTCAGTGGGCAAGCGGTGCCTTGGGCTGTGTAAAGTACACGGTTTGCCGGGCCGGGCGCTTCACCAGGACTCCTTCCCAGAGGATTTCCTGTCCAACACTCCCCCATAGCCAAGCTCCCTATCTGGTCACCTTAAAGCCTTTTCCCAGAGTCCCAGGCACACCGCTGCCTGTCCTGTCCCATCCCGCCCCATCCCATCCTGTCCCATGGCTACCTGCCGGCCCTGGTCCCGGAAAAACTCGCCGGTGTTTTCGATGACCTGCTCGTCCGACAGCTGGGAGTAGGGCTGCTCCCGGCAGAGCGTGAAAGTCTCCCACAGTGTCACGCCGAACGCCCACACGTCACTGGCCGTCGTGAACTTGCCCTGGCCGGAGGGAGCAGAGCAAGGTTGGGCACAGGCATTACCCCGTCCTGCTCGATAACCCTATGTGCCCAGGGTTCAAAACTCTTTCTGGATGCTTCAGCTTCCAGATCTGGGCCCAGAGGGGGCTCTGTCCTGCAGACCTGCTCTCTGCCCAGGGCCAAGCTCGAGATCCAGCTTGCAGTGACTGCTCTGAGAGCTGGGGCTTGGTAAGGACCCAGCTCCCAGCAAAGATAAAAACTAACCCTGTTCCCTCTTCCAGATCGGACCGCTGCCAGGAGAGGATGTCAAGCATCCTGCTCAAAGGCTGGGCACTGGGACACCAAAGATCACCGTAGTCCCCCCATCCTGCCTCGAAAAGCTGCTACCACTCCTGCTTTCTGCATGCTTCACCCCAAAGCTGAGCTCCAGGGAGGCGAGACTTTCCTGTCCCTTCTGCACCCCCAGCCCGAGGAAAAGAAACTGGGAGCAGCCCCAGGGCCACGCCAGTGTCCGTCAGAGGACCCCAGCCCCTGCGTACCAGCAGGATGCTCTCCCAGGACATCCAGCGGATGGGGAGTACCGCCCGCCCCTGGATGCGGTAGTAGTCCCCACTGTAGAGGTTCCTGCTCATGCCGAAGTCGGCTATCTTGATGGTGTACTGCTTCCCCACCAGGCAGTTGCGTGTGGCCAGGTCTCGGTGCACGAAGTTGAGGGAGGAGAGGTACTTCATGCCGGAGGCAATCTGGGTGGCCATGAACCGAAGGTTGCTGTAGCTGCCAGGGGGGGACAAGGGAGGACTGAGACGCCAGGAAGGATGGCAGCCGGGGGTACACAGCCCTGAGCGGGGT